TACTACGTCGCAGGCGTAAGTATTACCCCTCGAGGGTAGGAAAACAGGGGTTTTAAAGTGGAAACTAAACTTTTAAGGCACCCTCGAGGGGTAATACTTAGGCCTGTACCGTGGTACTTAGGCCTGTACCGTGGTACGTAGAATTACCCCTTGAGGGTGCCTTAAAAGTTTAGTTCCCACTACGTATAAACCCCCTGATTACCCTACCCTAAGGGAGTAATACTTATTACCCTGGGACGTAGTAGAATCCATACTCACCTCTCCCGTCCTCGTCCCCCTCCTAAAAAACCCAACTCCAACCCCATATCAACAAATCAACAAACAATCGAACATCAAACCCACGAAAGGGAAAGCAAAGGCCACCCGTCCCTTCTATCTATCTCTCTCTGTATCTTATCCACATGACAGATAAACACGCATTCCATCATATCATGTCCTAACTCTCCTAACTCTCCTAACTCTCGTACCGCTACGCTACGGTACGCTACAGTACGTCAAGCCCTCTCTCACTATTCCTGCCTATCATATAAAATCACAATTCATCTCTACAGTAGTAAGTAAAGGTAAGTAGTGCTGGTATCACCTAAGGGGGTGTGCACACACAGCTTGAGACTCGATACGAATACTTATTATTTAGCAGATGTTGCATTCGTAGTGTTGGTAAGTCTAAGGAGAGGGACCTATTCTACCGGTAGGTGAGTGGGAAGTGGTACCGGTACCGTAGTAGTACCGGTACCTAGTGGTGGTGCCAGGAGTGCACGGGCCACTAAGTCCGATACCGAGTCCTTAACTCCGGCTCCTTCCATTCCCCAGTTCAGCATTCCCACAGTAAGGAAGGTCAAGCCGCGCGCTAAGCGAGCGAACGAACGAGTGAGTGAGTGAGTGGAAAGCTCCACGAGTCAAGTTAGTGTGGTGAGAATTTCCGGTTTGGGAATTTGGGATAGAGAGAGAGAGAGAGAGACGTCAGAGTCTGCAGAGGGAGGCAGATATTTCAGAGGCAGGTTGGTTTTCCGTTTCGCTTCTTGGGGTGGAGCAGTGCACTGGATTTCGTGAGCGTAGATCCGTTTTGTTCATCGGTTCATTTATTTATTTATTTTATTTATTCATTTATTTATTAATGTCCACAACTTATCATAGCACGCTCGCCTCGAGCTGTACGAGGGTAGCTCCCCCGACCCTGTCACCTATCTACGTACATAGTAGTACTTCGCTCGATTCAATGCCATCCCCGTAATCCAACTCAGATCAGATTAACAATTAACAATCAGCATTCAATTTATCGGAAATTCCGTCCAATCCCCATCCGCCCACCCTCCTTCCTGTCCCAGAGGCAGCTGGAGGGCTACTGCCGGGTCTATCCTCTGGATCATGACCGGCGCTCCCTCTCCCCGTGCGTGCCTCTGGTGTAGCAACTGCTGGACCGTTGTGCATACTGCCCTGTACCTCTCTTCGACACCGACCCAGGAAAGTCCAAGTTCGCGCTCAGCGATACCCCGAAACTCCCGGTTTTGTAACCAGCCACCAATCTCCGGGAGCAATTCATCGCATTCGCGAACCATGTCCCACATCATCTGGTTCGTGATCACTTCAGCCCTCGCTCGTTCTTCCAGCCGCTCTATTTCAAGCTTCTTCTTCTGCCGGGACTTCGTCGCTGCCCCGCGGTTGCGCTCGAGTTGATTAGTGCGTTTGGCATCTTCCTCTGATGCCGTTTGCGGCTTCTTCCTCTCTCGCTTTCTCTTCTGCGCGCGTACCACAACAGGGGCGGCGTCCGGGCCCGGTCGAGTCATCTGGGTGGCCTGAGGGAACTCGCGGTTGGTCTGTCTTGCATTTTGAATTCGGTTTCGGCCTTGATTCTGGTCTACTTCGAATTCTGCCGGCTGGAATGGCTGTTGATGGGCCTGGGAAGCGTGCAAAGCGTGCGGGGCTGCGCCAAACTTACCAGCTGCTCTACTCGCTGTGGAGGGTGGTGGAGGTTGCTGCTGATAAGCTTGGTAATCGTAGAATGCATGCGGAACGTTGCCAAACGGACCAGCCGCCATATTTGACATGGCAGGTGGTAAGAGTTGCTGCTGATGAGCCTGGGCGTAGAAAGCCTGCATGTTGTTGCTAAACGAACCAGCCGCCATGTGTGCAGTGGCAGGTGGGAAAGGTTGCTGCTGAAAAGCCTGGCAATCGTGGAAGGCTTGCGGACCATTGTCAAACGGGGCAGCCGCCATGTCCGCTGCGGCTGGCGTGTCTGCAAATAAGATGTCTGTAGACTCCAGGCAATTTGGACTGTCGGAGCTAAAGGTTAACATCGGCGTTGGTTCATCTTCCGTCAAGGTCTCCTCGATGGCGGGACTAGTCGAAACTTGTGGGCCGAGATGAGTCATGTCGCCAGCAGCAAGCATGTTTTTGTTGCTGGAGTAGTAAGGACACTCGTGGCTGTAGGTTCCGGTGAAGAACATGGCGGGATCGAGTATATTGCTGGCGTCAGACTCGGAGTTGACGGAGAGCTGAGAGTTGTCGAGGTTGAAGGTGTCGAAGCCCGTTTCATGGATGACTCTGTCACTCATGGGCATGATTGCACGATCTCGGTAAGGATTGATTGCAATGGTCGAATATGTGTCGGTGGTTGCGGGCGATGATGCAGGGTTCTCAGGGGCGGAAGGCAGAGCAAGAGGAAGAAGAGATGCCCCGCTGATATATCAGCAGTTGGATGCGTGGAGCGTGTTCAGCACTTAGAGATTTGGTCTCGAAAGAGAGCTGCTCCAGACCTGATTCGAGACTTGTGAGGTGCAGGGACAGAGGAGCACCGGAGCTACCGAAGATCAATGATTATCTGGGGGGGCAAACGAAGCCTCAGGCTCAGCTAAAGGGCAAACAGTCGACCGATTTCCTGTCGAAGTACGGGCGGACCCGTCTTCGAGGGGAGGGGGGCTCAATTGGTGCGCTGGAGACCGATTGGTTTTCATGGAGTCATTGTTTTGGAAAAGCTCGTTGGGGCTTGGTGTTGTGGTGTTGTGGTGGTTGTTATGTTGCTGTGTGTTGCTGTGTTTATTTTTCGACCAACTTGCCCTTTCAATCCCTTCCACTGGAGACTAGCGGGGGTCCCAGGGTCCTCTAATTCTCGATGAGTTCTCGAGCCCTTACCTTCTTCGCTGATCGACTGTTTGTGGTCCTGGTCCGAGGCCGGTGGTGCAACTTTTAAGCGCGAGGTACGGGGGGGGTGGAAGGGCAAGCAAAGCACAAATATCGCATGGCACCAACCACCAACCAGTATGATGGAATGGATGGAATGGATGGAATGGATGGAATGGAAGGAATAGGATTGGAATTCTGGGGATGAAATGAAGAGGTGGATGGCGGCGTTGACGACCTGCGACTCACTACCAACACCGATGTGGAAGTGAATTGGTTGTATTGGTGGGTGATGGGTTGATGGTTGATGGGTGATGGTTGACAGGAAAGTTTAGACTTTGAACTTCGATGTCCGGGGAAGCTAGGAGGTCGGAGAAAGCTCCATTCCCCCCTGCTAGCGGCGCTTGGCGAGGGAAGCGATGGCACTTATTATGTTTACGTATATATGGATATTTATCTATGTCTCTATGTATATATACCTCTCTATTTATATGTATATGTATACACAGATATTTCCCTCTCCCTCTCCGACTACGACAAGTTTGCCACGAGATTCATCAGCATCACCCTCACGATCAGGTTTGTTGCCATTACCATCACCACGATCATGGTCATTGCCACCGCCACTGCCCTTCCTACTGCCTCCATTTCCTGTTTATCTTCGATGGCATCTGCATCTGTACCACAAACAACACCCGCTCCAACCAGGCTTGATCGTTGGGATCCGGAAATATGAAGGGCAATTTCAGACGAGCTCGTCGATCTCGCTGCATCCAACCTGACAGCCCAACAAACAGACGGACACACACAGACCACAGACCACAGACCACAGACCACAGACCACAGACCACGGACCACCACCAAGTCCCCACAAGCTTTCTTTCCGCCACCGATCGACAAATTCAATTCAGAAACATGGCATTTCCAAGAATTCCATGTCAGGGGTCAGGAACGGGAATCCAATCCATAACCTGCTGCTACAGTCCCCATCTCAGTCCCGTCGAAAAAGCCCACTGCCCAGAGCCAGCCAGAAAATCAAAGAAGAGAAAGAAAAGGGGAAAAAACCACCAAACAATTTTGGTGTCAATAATTGCGAGACTTATCAACCAAAAGGAGCAGCAAGGAGGTACTTCCGTACCCATTCTCATCTCATATCATCTCATTTCATCTCATTTCATCTCATCCCAACCCTCTTTTTCCTAGACACCGACCGGGAAATCCCCATTACAGTCTGGACGATCGAACGCAAGGGAGCAAAGAGTGAGACGTGCGGGAAGTTTCTCCGCGCAGACCACATCCCATGCAAGAAGCCGCCGCCCAGAGTACTTCTAAGTATGAGACGAAGGCAAGGGGAGTGGGAGAGGGGAAGTGGGACACCCGGAAACCCCTCCGGAGATATTTCAACTACCTACCCACTTATCTACGTACCAACTTCTATATCTAGATAAACACGGACGTACAGCGGCTATCTTTTGTCCCCGCTTTTCTACATTTGCAATGGTCCCCAGCAACGTCTTTCTTGATCGAGCAGCTTTCTACGGAAATACCTAGCTTACGGAGCCTCTCTCTTCGGGACGTGAAATACTACCACATGATATCAAGTTTGGGCTCCATACTCCTCTCGCTTTTAACTACCTAGAGACAAAAGATCACCGCTGACCTCTGTAGATAGATATAATATTACACGAGACCGTCAAAAGTCTTCATTAATAGTCAAGTCAGAGGTACATAATTTCCTGTGTGCATACCTGCCCCAACACCAAAACCAGCTCAAAAGCTTAAAATTAAACTAAACGTGCGTCTCGACCGCGCAGGGGAAGAAATTTGAAAAGCTGAGACGACAGACATGTTGAACATGGCGACGGTTCTATCTGCTTACCTACTCGGTTACTGTATCAACAACAACAACAACAACAACTTGACCTCTGCTGCTCTGCTCTACTCTGCAACATATTCTACAACCGAGACCGCATACATAATTTCGAAATGGCGCAGATCTCCTCAGGTTCTTGGAATCTCAGACTTATAAGCAAAAAATGCACTCACGTACTTGATACATTCAACAAACACATATTCCCGGTCCTTCTCTTTTCCTCTCTCCCTCTCCCCCTCTCCCCCTCTCCCACTCCCTCCCACTTCCCCAGATTCCCTCACCATTATTGTTTAACATTGATTTACACCGAACCCTTATACATATACATCCCTCGCCACCAACTTCCCAACGAGGAGATATTACCCTATCCGACCCAACCCAACCCGACCTATCCCGACCTATCCCGACCTTTCCCGACCTTTCCCGACCTATCCCGATCCGAAATCGAAGGCCAATCGAAGGCCAATCGAATCGAATCGAATCGAATCGAATTTGACCCGTCCTGTCCAGAGGCGCGGCGGTGGCGGCACCACTACCAGAAAACCCCTCCCCTCACGCCGCCTCCACCTCCACCTCCACATGCTTTCGTTCACACAGCATTTTCGTTCATATAGCAGAAGTCTCACTCTGTAGTATTCAGAGCCGGAAAATCCAAAAGAGAAAAACCAGAAGAGTCCCGTGAGCTAGCTGCACTGAGCTGAGCTGAGCTGAGCTGAGCTGAGCCCCCCGCCCCCAAAAAAATCGTCCCGGGTCTTCAGCCTTGCCTTACTTATTTACTATGATTAGCGCAAGGGCTATAGCTGTACAGTAGTTGTAGCTGCCGATCTGATCTGATCTGCCCTACCCTACCCTGCCCTCATTCATTCATTCATTCATCCATTCATGCCTCATGCCCTATAGGGCTCATGTTACCGAACGAAGGGGGGAAGGTGGATTATGATCTTGGCTAGCACCGACAGCAAAGACCATGAACTAGAACGGATCGTCGGTTACCTTGAATTTACTCTGTAAAAAATCCCGCCGAGTCGGCACCACCAACGCGGAACAGTACTGTAACGGTATAATCGTCGGTTACCTTGAATTTCATTTGTGAAAGATCCCACCACGTCGGCACCACCAACGCGGGACAGTAACGGTATACCACTTATCAAACACAACTATCAATATATACATATATATATTAAAAAAATGAAATATTTTACATGCTCCGTGTTGGTACACAGGTATTGATAGTACTATCGCTTTGGGTTGGTTGTGTTGTAGATGTCTGGTATTGCTATACTGGTAGTGGCGGTCCCTTAAGGGGACCGCGGGTGCACGTGCCACCCTTACGTGCCAAGTCCATTACTACCCTCATCGTTCCTTCCATTCCTGTCCGCTGTCCGCTGCATGGCTGGTATACTCCGACATTAGCAGTTCTTTACTTATTGTAAGGAACGCTCTAATTATACTTATACAAATTCCTGCGTCCCGAAGTTCTACCGAACTTCTCCGTCTTAACTCCCTTTGCTATTCCCGATCTACTTATCTTTTAATACGTACTTTTAGCGTATTGCAATCGATGAAGCTCTTTAAAGCTTTGTTTGGATTTGCTTTGATTATATAGTCAGCTGGATTGCTCTTCTTATCGATCTCGCGAATCTCGGCGATCTTTCTGCGCTCGTAGGATTGTCGTAAGGCTATTACATCGATCATGAGCCTCTTTTCCTTAGTTGTGCCGAGCTTTACTAAACACTCGTAAAAGGAATAAGAGTCGGTAGCTACCACTATTAGTATCTTTAGTAACGAGAGCTATTCGGTGATCTGATTTAAAGTGGTATTTAAGGCAATAGCAATGTCCACTTTAGCCACTATTCCGAGGATTTTTAAGGCTAAAACGCTTTTAATAACTCTTTTACTTTTCGTAAAGCTGTAATGCATTATATTGCTTATGACTTTAAAGGTCTCCTCGGTCGTACGTGTTTCGTTCCTTAAGATAATCACGTACTTAAGTTGACTGGATAGATCTTTGTTGTTTGCAAAAGAGCTATCCACGAATACAAAAAGCTTGGCTAAGCGAAGGTCGATAAAAACGTATTTCAGCCTTTTGCCTTAGTTGCTAATCATTTATTAAAAGCACTTATTTAAGGCTGCCACTTTATTTTTACCGGGGTCTTTGTGCTAAGCTGCTATTGAGAAGGCAAATAAAGCTTTAGGTTGGTAAGTAGAAGCAATATATGCTTCGCGTGCGCGCTGCTCGAAGTACTCTTGCTTATAGTTTAGTCTATCGGAGACGAAAGCGAGCTTTTAGCCTTGCTATTTTTGTATGAAGAGCATAGTATCGTCCTTTTATAGCTTCAAAATACAGCTATTGAACCCAATATCGATAGTATAGATCAGCTTGGTCTCATCTTTAGCTTTTAAGCCGGCTTTCTTAAGTTCTAATCTTTCTTTAGCTGCAAATCGATCGTCGGCGAGGTAATAAATGTCGTCTACTTGCATCCTTACGAGCTTAAACATGCTTTTTTTAATACAAATCAAGAGGCAAAGGTCGTAGGTCGAAGTGATTATGGACAGCTTCTCTTTGTAATAGGTGTAGTACGTTGACCACCAAAAGGTACTTGCCTTAAAGCCGGCAGAATCCTATATAATACTCTTCGGATCCTTATGATTGTTCCTTCGGAGTAAAACTTTACCATTTCCTTCGGTAGGCGTGCTAGAATGAGCCTATTTAGTAGGTGGTAGATGTTGCGCAGTTGGCGGAAGAGGTAGCTTCGAAGGTAGCTGCGAGGGTGACCAAAAGAGAAGGTGCTTCGTAATTGGTGTGAGAGGTAATTGCTTCGAAGTAGCGCAAAAGGAGTACTCCGAATGTACCTTGGTCAAAGCTGACAATTCCTTCAATTGCACTTCTTGCTGGTCCAATTGCTGGTCCACTTGCTTGTCTTCTAATTGCTGGTCCACTTGCTGGTCCACTTGTTGGTTCAATTGCTCTTTCAATTGCTAGTCTTCCAATTGCTGGTCCACTTGCTGGTCCACTTGTTGGTTCAATTGCTCTTTCAATTGCTGGTCTTCTAATTGCTCCTGGTCCTCCAATTGTATCGCCTTCACTTGTATCGCTTCCACTTGCTGGTTTGGCTGAATTGATTGAATTGGTTGGAGTCGCAATCTTTGTTCTTTTAACCAAAGGCGCGCATCTCGAGAATTTGCTTTAAAAGGGCAAGTGCGTCGGAGTTGTTCTGTAAACCAAAGGCGCGCGTCCCTTGATTTTGATGGAAAAGGGCAAGTATCGAGGTTTTGCATCTTGGCGTAGCATATGAAAAGTAGCTGATCGAAGCGTAAGGTGTGAGGAAGGTCCGCGGTAGTGTGTCTGGAGCTGGCAGAGAGGTGTGAGGTTCGAATTGCTCAGCGAAGAGATCGAAAAAATTGGTGGTTCGAATTCGTATATGAGGGAGGGAATTCGCAGTAGTTGATGAGGTGGAGGAACTGCTGGCGGTAGCTAAGGGAACAGCTCAAGTGATAGGAAATAGAGTATCAGTTCTTCTCTTAAAGTTGTCTGTCTCTGCTTCTTCTCTTTGTGCGTGATGGAACGCGAATTGAGGTTTCTTTTCGAAGATATTCAATCCTTGGATTACTTGGCTGTCACCAGTTATAGGTAATCTGTAGCGCGAAATTCAGGGTTGGCGGCGGTTCAGTAAAGAAGCGCCCTAGACTCAATCTGCCTCTTCCGTTAGTACCTTGCGAATCTGTGGTTTACTAACCACTGATCAGTGTTGGTACACAGGTATTGATAGTACTATCGCTTTGGGTTGGTTGTGTTGTAGATGTCTGGTATTGCTATACTGGTAGTGGCGGTCCCTTAAGGGGACCGCGGGTGCACGTGCCACCTTTACGTGCCAAGTCCACTACTACCCTCATCGTTCCTTCCATTCCTGTCCGCTGTCCGCTGCATGGCTGGTATACTCCGACACTCCGAAAACTTTGCTTCACAAACGTGAATTAAGAATATAAAGATTTCATTCATCTGCCGGTGCCCTAATACCTCAGAAACGTACTGAAAATACAGCTTAAAAACCGTCCCAAACAATTCATTTTTTTTACTCTGTCTGCTTCGAATATCTTAATATTCACAACCTTAATAATAATAAAAAATACGTCTTATAGATCGCGAAAAAAAAAAAGAAAAAAAAACCCAATCTATTACAGGAGTCCCATTCTCATATTCCTCGCTTATCCTACCCTACCTTACCTACCTACCTACCTGAGTTGTTTACATACATACATAGCAATTCTGATCTACCGGTATACGCACCAACAAAATCGAAAAAGTACATACTTATTAATCACAAGTACTATTTTTTACTACTACCTTCACCTAGCGCGAGAAAGGCATAAGAACAAGTTGTTATGTAGAATTTGATTAGTTGGTTAATCGTCGGCTCGCTTAGGTGGGGCCTCCTTACAGCCTTTCAGTCTTGGTCGGTACAGTCAGTATAAGCGATTGCGGATCGGAAGCGAGTGCGGATTTTTCGAGGGTATGAGAAATGCTTTTATACTATAGCGATGATCATTATAATTAATTAATTATAATAATAATTAAATGTTTCGAGAAGAGGTATACTCGTAGATTAATTATTTATATAACTATTTTCGAGCCGACGATTAAATATCAAGCTCGATACGGTGGTGCGTGCATCTTCCTATTTGAAAAATAATTACGATGTAATAGTAGGTTGGTCTTTTATTCATGATGAAAGGGCAAATTTTACTGTCCCGCCTCGGTGGTGCCTATTTGCTACAGCAAGTCGGTCAATTCTTTCGAATTAAATTTATGGTAACCAACGATTAGAAGGGAAATAGATTTATATATGTACGTATCAATTATTGAAAATTTCGGGCATAAGTATATAATTGCTGCAATATGTTCAACATACAATCTACATCTAAAATCTAAAACACGATTATCATTAATCACTCATTGGAAGCCATAACAGGTCCGTCCCCCTTGGTATGTATATGTACCAGCAATCACATCAATCCGGCCACGAGCAATCCTCCCAAACTCATCCACCACACACTCATCACCAACCGCCTCCCAGCATCCCCAGTAATGCTTTCCCCCGAACTACCCGTCGCCCTCGGCATTGGAGAGCCGTTGCGGTCCGCTGTAGGCGTCACCCCCGCACCGAGATCTGGTAGATCAGGAAAGGGTCCGCTGCTATCAGTGCTACTGACGTTTACCAGAAAGCAATCGGCATCGTATCGATAGGGATTGATCAAGTTAGGACCCGTGATGTTGTCGTAAGCGAGTCTGACAAGCGAGTCCTGGCTGGTGTCGTATCGCGGCCATCCGTAAGTCGTGAGCCCGTTCGCGGGATCTTTGGCGAAAGCTGCCCAGGCGCCACGCATATAGTTCCCAATGCTGACCTGCTCGGGAGTAGCAGGAATGCTATTTGGCGCCGTGTTGAATAGCATCGGTACCTCGGCCGCGTGCCAGGCTCCTGCCTCACTCGTAATCGCTAAGTTGGGGAAGACGCCGAAGTAGCGGTATCGCCATGTCGGAACGTCTGCTGCGACAGACAAATTTGCGCGGATGCCAGTGGGGCAGGTGAAGGCTTGGAGGTTGAACGTGGCCCAGAAGCTGTCTGAGAAAGTAACTCCTCTCAGAGCGAATTGTGTGCGGAATAGTCCCGCCTCGTAGTTGTTACTACCAATCAACATCGGGACCTTGGCTGGTGTACGTGATCGGTAATCGGAAAAGACAATGGTATCGTCTACGGTTGGCCCAAAGGACCCTAGGATTGAAGCGGTACCATTCAATGCTGGGACCGCGTTGAGAATTGCGTTGTAGTCCTGTTTGCGCATGCAGGACAGGACAGCTGCAGAGTCTGAAGTAGAGTCTCCACATCCAAGAGAACTACTTGTGTTGTACCAAGCCGATGCTGTGAAGCTGGCAGAGTTTGGAAGCCCCCAACCAATGACGTTCCCACTCTCGGGAATGAAACCTGCCGCGATAGGGTCCTTTGTCCAGGCATAAGAGTAAACGTCAATGGCAGCTGCTCCAGCGGATTGCCCGAAAAGAGTAATTCTCGAGGGATCTCCACCAAATTGCTCAATGTTGTCTCTCACCCATTCAACGGCAAGCCTCTGATCCAAAAGTGCCACATTGGGCGTTGCGGAAGAGCCTCCAGGGAATCCAAGGATACTCAGCCGGTAACTGTACATTATTAGCTATGGAGCTATGGGTGTTGTTTGCGGCAACTCACTTCAAGGATACAACCACAACATCTTCCTGCCCAGCAATATTTGCACCATTGTAACCAGGAATTGAGGAACTGCCCGAGCTGAATCCACCACCGTAGAGCCAGACCAGAACTGCTTTCTTCGCATCGCCGCTTTGTGGTTTCGTCCAAACGTTTAAATATAGACAATCTTCATTATATGTAGCCCCATTGTCGGTCAAGACTGCGAAGGTCAATAACCCAGCACTCGTCAAATTCGCCGCTTCGCGTGCTTGAGCGGTAGGCACCGAGTCATTAGATTGCTTGACGGGACAAGAAGGTCCCTTCGCAGACGTATTAGCTTGTGATTGTTATGCGCGGTGGCCGCGACTTACGAAAGAGGTTCCATTGATGGAGCTGTTGCCGGTGAACTTGACGGGAGCCGCAAATCTCAACTCTCCAATTGGTGCCTGTCCGTATTGTATTCCCAAATACTCCGAGACCTCTGTATTGTTCGCTGCAGCTTGCCCAGAGATCGATCCACTGCTTGTGTGCACTGTTTGTCCAACGACCCAGTCCGACTTTCGTTGCTCGAGGGCAAAGCCATGGACACCCAGTCCAGTCGCGAGAGCCACAAGGATCGAGGACTTCATGGCGATTTTCGTTCCTGACCAAAGGATCGATGACAGATGGAGGAAAAGAAGGAAAAAAAAGGTATACAGCACAACAGTGCAGGCCTACCTTTGTACTCACTCATCAGTGGCGCACACATGATACCTTAATTCCATCCCCCGCTTAGCCACAAGTCTTTAGCCAGGCTGACCTCCTCAGCGGATGAATGCCCAAGAAAGAGTTCTGGATCAGGCCGCGTCCAGCGAATATGCCGGGTGCTGGAAGCCCTTGTGGCGTCGTCATTAGCGGGCAGGAATCTTCACCTGGGTCATATTGCCGACCGTCTGTGCCACGAGGCTGCACGCTTTTGCGCGAAGTGAAGGTTTGGAAAAGAGGAGAGATGATCCTTGGTGCCACCGGTACTGCCGGTTGAGGGATGCGATTGGGGGCAACGAAGTGAAAAACTTCCAACCTGCGAAATCGGGAAAGTAGCTTTAAGTAGCGCCTGCAGCCGAGGCCCGAATGACGTTGCTTGGCATTCATGGGTGTTAAAAATACTACTTACCTAGTGCTACGTACGAAGTACTACCGGTACGTAAGAGCTGATATCCTCCTCGCTTACGTATCTGAGCGCGCTTTGATATTAATGTTTATCACATATACCTCCTCCTCCTCCTCCTCCTCCTCCTCTTCCTCCGCCTCCTTTGCGCCCCCATCACCACCGGACGACGATCATTGATTTCGCCAATTTCTTGAAGCTGCTTGTTCATTCGGATTAAGCTTTCCAGCCCAGCATCATCCATTCTTCCTATCCCCAGCGTTTCAATCAAATGCCGGTTGATTCAAAGCTATACGTAAACACAACGTACTACGTAACTTAGAGGATCCCAATGCTGCGTCTCTCCGGGGCGAGCTATATTTCATACAAATATAGATTGCACGAGACAGTTGTTTGTTTGGAACCGACCTCGTTAAGCGAGTGACCCCACCCCCCAACCCCCGACTACGCTTCTACGAATGCCAATGCTGATCGTGACCGGGCCAAGCATGTGAACAAATTCAAGTATACCCATAACAATTTCCTCAGGCGAGCTGGAGCTTCTTTCTTTTCTTCATGCATTCACGGCTCAAATTAGTCACTTGAACTGCTACGTTTGTACTAACTCACCGGCAAAAAGAAACCCCCGCTTTGGAAAAATTCATGAAGCTAGAGAGGAAAAAGGAGTACGGAAAAGGTTTCCCCGGGAATTTCGGCAACAGCAGCAACTCCGTCTACTCGTGCGGCCAGCATATTAGTCCCGTATCGAAAATCATCCCCAACATCCCCAATATAAATTTAAAGCTACGTAATTTAAGCGTAGCCAACCATACAGAGCGCTGCAATCGCCCTCCCCAGTTTAAAACGATCAGCGCATGGAGACAGATGTGCTGGCCGCATGAGTATCCCCACACCTGACTCTTAACGTGGCTACTACCGGGTCGATTATTTCTTATGCCTCGAAGAAAGTGGAGTTGTATTTCCTATGCCTCAACCCACTTTTTGAGTGGGCCCGCCCAGCCAAATCTATTCGCTGCTTTATACAAGAAAATTTTTCAGTAATGCCGCTTATACTAGAATTCTATACAATTGCAATTTTAGTATTATTATCGCGATTTGTTTAAGTACTACGTCGCAGGCGTAAGTATTACCCCTCGAGGGTAGGGAAAACAGGGGGTTTAAAGTGGAAACTAAACTTTTAAGGCACCCTCGAGGGGTAATACTTAGGCCTGTACCGTGGTACAATAGCGGAAATCCTTACTACCGCCGCAGCTTTAGATGCTTTATTAAAATCTTAAACGCTACGGTATCGGTGTGATAAGGAAAACATATATGCTTTGATCGTGTTCGTTATATAAGACCGTTGATTATGCGGACAGCGTATCTTTTGGAATTAATTCTTAAGCTGATATCTATAACTAAAAACACATATGTTTCTTTAATTCGGGATCAGGTTCAGCGCTACACCGAGATCCGTAGGTATAGCTTTAAAATTACAATCGAGAACTTTAAAAAATAATTCTAGTATAAGCGGCATTGCTGAAAAAAATTTCTTGTATACTGGTAGAGCAGCGAATAGATTTGGCTAGGCGGGTCCACTTAAAAAGTAGGTTAAAGCATAGGAAATACAACTCCACTTTCTTCGAGGCATGGGAAATAATCGACCCTACTACCGGTATCAGTGCAGGATAGGCTTTAGGTTCGTGATCGGATAGGAATTAACAGTGGGAGTTGACCTTACAACCACTTTATTATGATCATCTCCACAGTAGCTGGATGATCAAAGACGTACAGCGGAGTTGGTCGGATTTTAGCATAATGGAAACTTATACGAAGTATGTGTATTTCCAACAGAGCCGTAGGTAGGGCCACGATAACTGGAGTGTTTTTAAGGCAAAGCACTAACATATATAAAATTCTCTCTCTATAGCCCATCCTTTAGATGATTTAAGCAACTTTCACCCTTATCGATTCAGATTCCGTCGGTCCTCTACCACGTACTTACGTAGTACGTAGTATTACTCACTACTATACTTACTTTATTAGCCCTTAAACTTCTAAAACTCTATTTTTTCGAAAAGAAAAAGTACCACGGTACAGGCCTAAGTATTACCCCTCGAGGGTGCCTTAAAAGTTTAGTTTCCACTTTAAAACCCCTGTTTTCCCTACCCTCGAGGGGTAATACTTACGCCTGCGACGTAGTAACTTAGCGAAAAAATGTACAACATACGTAGTACGTACGTAGTAGTAGTACGTAGTACTACTACTACTACGTAGCAAAACTTAACCAAAATCTTAAAACTCGGATGGGGGATGATGATCTGAGGTTCTAATCTGCAAACCTAACTGAACAGGCTTTTCCGAATTACGTACGATAATTGAGGGCCAGCGAAGACGGATTTCTGAGCCTGTACGTGGCGCTGGCTACGAACTTGCGATATTCTTAACAATATTCGTATAGCCGATTAAACAACGCACCCTTTTCGAAGGGTAATCGAGGCGATGCACTTTCATGCTAGCCTTATTTTTCGTATCTGCAGACGGAACGAATGACGATTAGAGATACGAAATAAGTATTACAACATACTCTTTCGTATATCACTCGAACCCGACCTTATCGACTAGCTCGATGACTCTATCTGACGACTGAATTCGACCCTTTTTTCTCGAACCTTACACGATGAGCGGTATTTACTACGTACGACCGATTATACTACGTACGTAGTATAAAGACGCTGAAAGAACGAAGTAAATACGATAGCGGCTTAGCTCTCGGAACTCTCGGGATTCCTACACGGTAAAGGAACCTTTAGCAAAGGCTGGCCCGAAAACGCTTATAACTATAATCGATTACGAATACAAAGGGTCGGACGGAAAAAGAAGAAGAAAAAAGGATCTTGGTCGAATACTCGATTAAATAATCGGAAACACGGTGTATCGAGCTGCTAATAACTAATCGCAATGAGAAGCGATCGCAGCAATTAATACTTTCTTAAATAGATTTGCTGTTAATAAGAAGCATCATGAGCTGCAATACCGCGAGATCAAAGACCCGAGACTCTATATCGATTTAATCTTTTTCTTACGAGTTTTTACCTTATCGGTATAGATAGACTTTGTTTTTAAAAAACCGTTTAATTAGTAGTAGTTAAGATACCACTTGCTTTTGCGGGGTGCTTATAGGTGGGACCTAATGCCGGCACGCCATTATACCCTTAGGGAGGTGGTGAGTCGGACTCCTTTTAGGACCCGCAGCAGGCGTTAAAACAATACTACCGGTACTACTACTACTACTACTACTACTACTACAATAATTGGGTCGCGTGTAACAATACAAACTGGACCCGGGAACTTGACGCTAAGCCGCGGAGCCATCGCCCCAAGTTCCGCCAGTTTATGGACGGGTCTTCCTCAACTGAATTAAAACACAGGTGAATATCTTTCCCTGAGCGAGAGGCAAGAAAAGCCCGGAAGAAGAAGGGGAGGGAAGGATCCCAGCTTTTCCTAACCAGACCATGATCATAGATTCATAAGTAGAACATGTTATGTTCACTTGTAAAATTATATTCTGATAAGGCCTATGATCCCACTCACACATCTCGTTTTCCAACTATCCTACAGATACCCACTTAAGACGGTAGAAGTCCTCCGGCTCCACAAACCCTTCCTCCCGGTGAGAGCATGGTTGCGTTTTCTTACTACCTCTAGGTACTGTAGTTTTTCTGCTCCGTACAGTGAGTGCAATTTTAAGGGTCTGGCGATCGTGAGCCACGCTATTCCTGTATTAGCATGTCGAAAATAATGCCAAATATACGTAGTAGGACGTAGTGTCAAATTTCCTTAACTTGGGCCTAGCCAACCATACAGAGCGTTGCAGTCTCTTTCCCCAATTTAAAATTGATCAGCGCATGGGTAATGTCGGCGTTAATGTCGGTGTCGGCGTATAATAGTACCGGCGTATAATAGTACCCGGATGTTTTTACAATCCGAAATAGTTGGGAGACATCAAATTACTAAGAGAACCGGCCGTGCTTTCAAGCAGAAATTGATGAGCCACTGCTGATATAGCGGTAGCGCTTTCGAATGTAATCATCGGTGGCCGTCCGCCGGGTCGGTTTTTCTTTTTTTCTTTTTTACAAATCAAATTCAAGGTAACCAACGACTATCCAAGTACTTCCCGAGTCCAAGCGTTATATTGAAATTTAGGCGAACCTCGCTTTAGGGTGCGATGTCGAGGCCTATAAAGGGATACAAAGGATTGAAAAGATTTAAGACCGAATCCGACCTGATATTACAAGTAATCACGGTGTTTTTTTTTTTTTTACAACTATATTGGAAAGGAGAGATTACAATTATTATAAATAGTTAGCTAAGCGTAAATTCGACTTTAAGCGCTGATTATTACCAGCGATACGATTATTTATAGCCGGCGTAGAAAAATCGAAAACCAATTTGAAAAAGAGATATATATTTCTTCTTGCACCTACCTCAGATCTAATTCACCAGCCTCTCCACTCGAAAGCTTGTTCCTTTTCGATAAATCGCAGAATCAAACCGCAGAATCATAAGACCTATACAAACACGATGCTCCTATCAAAGTCTAACCACCCGATCCTGCTGCTGGCTTTGGGCTTTCTCTTTAGTGAAGCTCAAGGATTTCTCGATGGCAGGAAAACTATCGGCTATCGATCAGTTTCCAAAGTAAGTTTGTTCTACTTGATTCACATAGCATAAGCTTGTACTAATTACGCGGATTATAGGAGGAAGCCGAGATTATCAATGCCGACAACAAGCTACATAAAGATGAAGACGCCGATAGCTTAAAGTACCTTAATCCATTAGGATTTGGTAGTTATCTAGGTGAGTTGATCTGTACAGATCGTTCCTTATTACGCAAAGCTAATTATCCAAATAATATCAGAACCTGATATCTGGCCAGGTGAACCAGGGGACTGGTATTGTGCTGTCGAAGCGGATAGTAGTAAGCTCGATAAAATACGCAAAGTATGGATCCCGGAATTTTGGAAAAGAACGGACCAGTTTGGTAACCTGATTGGGGAAGAGGAATTGTATGGAAACGAAGCCCTTACCGTGGGATATATCGGGACAGTGGTGCCAGAGCCCCAGAAAGCGTTGCGCTTCTCAGAGGTCGGTCTCAATAGGGAGCTGTCAATGCTTATTCCAACGCAAGTGATTGATAGCGATGATTTGGAACTATGGTGCAAATGCTATGAAACAAAAGAAGAGCTGAGAGAAGCTTCGGATGGGGCTATTGATTGGGAAGCTTGGGGTATTGAAGGAGATCGTGAACCAGCGAACCCTTCCTAGCTTAAGTGGTACAATGAAAGGGGGTGGCTCGTCAATTGTATATTAGAACTCATACTATCTGCTGCAGTTCTACCTATTTCACCGACTCGGCTGCTTATGCCATTGCACCTTTGGAACCAACTTGCAGTCCTCCTATTCCCACTCCCGCTCTGACCCCCGCCCCTAACTCCCTCCTGCCAATGATCGTACCCTTGGTGGGAGTACAAGATAGAGGCAAGGGTTGCGGTTCCTAGTACTCTTCAGCGATACGGTCAATTTTCAGCGATAAGGTCAAAATTTTGTTGTTGAGTCTAAGGAGAGGTAGCTCTTCTAGGTGAGAGGGAAGTAGTAGAGGTGGTGGTGCCAAGGCTGGCGTACCTAATGTTAGCCACGTGACCTGGTACCTACGTTCCTACAGTATATATATATGATTCAGACTCCTAGCAGCTTCATCAGCGACATGAACGCCCCCAGACCACACCAGTAAAGCCTGATTCCAGCTATTTCATGAACCATCACTCAAATTCACAAAGCATATCTTTCCTCATCCAACAATGTCTTTTCTTCCCAGCTATCCTTGAGCCAGTTGATGTCCACAATCCGCGGGCGCCTCGTCAGTTGCACAACTCTCTTCCGCAAAGAGCTAATCAGATCTTCGTCCTGGTCCAGTAGCACGTAATGCGTAATCGATTCATCGTCGTCGTTATCTGAAATCCTCCCAGCGGCGAATCGAAACTGGTTCTGGATGATCAGATGGTCGATATTCGCCATCGTCTTCGCCCCGCCCATATCGGAAGAGACAAAACGAACAACACATCTCGCGAACATCGAGCCGGGCGTATCTTGGAGCCCTTTCCCATGTTCATCCAACTGTAGCAAAAACTCTTCTACCGAGAAAGAAGAGTTTTTGGGGTGTATCATATCATCTACCAGGGCTTTCAGGTCTTCAGGATTAGTATCCCGGGCATAGCTGTCGCCGTACACATCAACGCTGCCCGCAATCTCGTCACTAAAGCCGCCGGCAATGTGGAACATATGGGCAGGCTCGAACGGAAGTAGGTAGCGCCCCTTTCCAAGCCCGTCAGCTTCTGCTTGCTGCATGGCATCAAACACCCATGCCGGCTTCACAACATTCTTCTGTCCCATCTTTATCAGACTCGCAACCTTGACAACCCGTTTGTCTCCAATGCAAATCATATTCGGTGCCGCTCCTGGGGTTTGAAAGATATTCCCACCGTTACCTTTGATAGCTTGCTCGGTCTCCGCCTTAGTCCTCTTTGGGGCTTGCTGTGATTCGTTCATGACGCAAAAGTTTAGCCCTTCGAAAATCTTGGTTTTCGGGCCTGCGTACGGTGTCTTAATTTTGCTGTCATTGCCAGCGATACGGTACTCCTTCTTCAACCTCTTAGTTTTCCTCCGGTTTTCTACCTTTATTTCCTTTGTTTTAGATTCCTCTTCGGCGTTCTGCTTCACTTCGTCGAATTCGTCCATCGAGAGCGCCTGTTCCCAGCTCTTTTCATCCTTGAGTCTTCTGAAGCGCGGGAATCTCAGCGTGTATTTCGTCCCAAACCTATCAGATACACCCACTGACGCTGCTTTGACTTCAAGGACAATGGAATCGCAGGGCTTGATCCAAACGTCTGGCTTCTCATACTGTTTCTCGCCGCCACCGAGCCTGATGTACTCCTTAGGTGGACGCATATCATTCCAAGGAATCCATTTCCCATCGGTTTGATGATAAATTTTAGCGTAGTCTTCCCCGCGAAAACCTCCTCCAACCTTACAAAAAGAGAAACACTTCATAGGATTTGATCCTATTAGGAGCTGTCAATACTGTTGTCACTCTAGAACTAGTAGCACTCGACTTACCACGAGCGATCTGGTCTTGGTTCACACGCAGTCCACACAGGAATGATGCTAACTTGCCACCTCGATGACCTCCTCCATAGTATCCGCCAATGACGATGAGATCAAGGGATTCGCCAAACTCAGTCATGTACTCAGGTTTGACCTTCATCCACATATTGTTTCTCTCATTCAGTGAGTATGCAGAATTGGGGTTCTTCAGAACCAGACCCTCATGACCTTTATCAATCACGTCGCGTAATTGTTCTTCAATGGCTTCTTGCCCACCTAACTCGGAGGCCGTCGCGTGTGTATGAATCTCAAGTCTGCGATTGACATTCTGGATAGAGCTCTCGAGAGCTCTGTATCGTTCTCTCAGAGTGTACATGGTGATCGGCTTGTGGTTCAAGTATAAGCAGTCAAAAACGCGAAATAAAGGTCGGTTGCCTGTGTCAGCCTGATAAGGGTTGTTTCGTTCTGATTTCGCAGCCGTCTTCAAAGTACCAAAGGCCACAACTTTGTCCGCATCCATGTTCCACGTTATCATCTCTCCGTCGAGAATAATGTTCCTCACTTTTTTTTTGAAAGCACCATCGATAAATCGGGCCAGTGCCGAGTTGTCATCATCGTGGGAACTCCCATATAAATATGTGTAGTCTGTGGCTTTCCGGGAGTACCACGCAAATCTTCGCTTGCCATCCGGGCCTGTATCCATATGCATCTGCATCCGTTCTCCATCGAGTTTCTCCTCGATCCAGAACGTGTTGGTACCTTCAGCGTCTTCTTCGAGCTGCATCTTGGCAAGCATGACGGGGAACGAGTGTGACTGAAATTGGGCGAGTTGGGGCTGGAAGCAGCTCATGATTTGGATTCCTTTATCTTCAGTGCCAAGGTCAATGTTAGGATCGACTAATTCCCAACACACACGTCGCAAACTTGATGAAACATTGAAAAGAGCATCACCATCGGGATGCCAAACCTATTTTGATTGTGTCAATTGAAGTTTCTCGAATTCATGAGCAATACCCACATCAAGAACGGTTTTCTCGGTTGCTCCAATCTTCATCTGACGCAGGATAATGCGAATCAACCACATAAGCTCCTCCGCATTCATCCGACTGTAGAACTTCTCAAAGAGTGGCAACTGGTCTGCTTCCTTTGACACAGCAGCGAGCTGATCCAGCAGTGCGTTGACTTCGGCAATTCGCATATTGCCCACTTGCGTTCGCATGGATCGCTTAGACAACACCTCATAACACCTTCCTGCAAAGTCACCCGCATTCTTACTCGCCGAGTTAATCCTCTTCCAGTCCGTCAAGTTCATGGCATCCTCAGAACGAGAATTCAATCCCACCATCTTCACGACCAGCTTACCAATACTCTTCTCCTTCAGGCCATACATAGGCCTGTCGCGATCTCTCGACGGAAGGATGAGGCGAATCGCAGGGTAGAAGTCTTTCCCAACTTCACTGCGCCATCTGGATACAAATTGCTCGATAATATTTTTGCGTCTCTCGTGAGGGGTCATCGTGTTGGATCCATGACCTTTCTTTCGACTATTACTCGCAGGCCCACCGACCTTGGCCTTATTCTCCGTCAAGGGTATGAAGAGACTGTTCACAAGCTGGTGGAAAGGCGGTGTTTTCCTTTTGTTCTTGGGCCGACCAGGGTACCTTTCAAGTCAGTCTAGGGAGGAGACATTCTTGAGCTTCACTTACTTTTCGTTCAGTTCTTCCTCGGTCAAAGGGCCGTGGCCATACATAAGCTCGTGATCTCCGTCATCGTCGGTCTCATCGCCGCTGTGGACTGAGAGCGGCATTTTCAACAGCGGGGGAGAATCAAGCGGCCGCCTTGGAAAGAAGCAGGAAAAAAACCGTACTGAAGTCTGGATCTTGTCGAATAGTCTCGGCGACGATGGTCGAGTAGCCGCGGTTGCCTTAATTCAGGCAGGTATCGCGTCTGGGTAACGTAGTCACGTGCCGCGGTAGCCCCTCTGAGCCGCAGGGCGGCCAAACGTCGGTATCAATTGCTGGCTGTCATCCTGTCTCATTTGTCTCACCTACCTCAATTACGTTGTAATTCGTACAGTCATATTTTCACGGCCAGCAGTTGCAACATCGCGAGACCGTTATTGCCACTGATCCATCATTCCAACCAGTTCCAAGACGACAAGGAACCCCGTGATCCATCCAGCCTCCAAGCCTTTTACGGAGTGCGCCTTGACAGCGATAACGTGACCTTCTGGCCCGCAGAGCCAAGGTCCCGACAGCGTGCGGTTACCTCCGTTCATGCGAAAGTTCGACATTAAGCCTCGTCGATGCCCACGTGCCCGGCTGGCTCCTCTGGTCAACTTACTACGGTACTACAACTACTCTAGTTGTACGGATATAATCAAGCAAGTGGCTATTGGACGCATCAAGCAATCGGACAGGCCATAGATAAGGTCTGCATGGAAACGAATTGCATGATGCAGGTCGACGGCGACAGGGCCAGTTGTTGTTGTTGTTGTTGTTGTTGCATTTGGGCCCAACTTCTAAAGTAGGCGGGCTGGCAGGCTTATCCTACGGCATTGATTGGACATGCCTTTCCTCGGGCCATCTCCTGAACTTCTGGACTCTGTTCTCAAGTTCTCAAGTTCTCATGTTTTCATATCAGCCAGCCAGGGTGTCCCAAAGCTGATAAGGAAGAACGAAGGTCGCTCGCTGTTCCTGTCCCGCATACGGTATACGGTACGGAGACGTGTTCAGCCAAAGATAACAAACGCCGTTATCGGGCAGGTTCTGGCTGGGCTGTCTCTATCCTCTAGCTTTTCCGCCTTTTCTATCCTGATCGAAGAATTTTCTCTGCGGATTTTGTCGGCATCTCGCAGTTTGAGGCAGGTCGCAAGCGAGATTATCTGTCATACAGCGGTGAAGTCGCTTTGCTTGCTTGCTTGCTTGCTTGCTTGCTTGTGTGCAATGCCAGCGTGTACCTACTCCTGTCCGCACACAAGATATAAGACCCCTGGGCATACCGTGCGTGCGTGCAGTGCAGTACATTAAAGTACATGACAGGAAAAGATTGGCAGGCCAAAGCAACCGAAGTGGAAGCCCAAAAATGACGAGAAGGGCATGGTTGCGTTAAAATAGAACTGGTACATCAAGCCCTGGTTGATAAGCTACCGTACGGAGTAGACGCAGCTTGGCCTGGCCGGGAATAGCGAATGGAGTTGCGTAGGAATCGAGAAAGCACCAAAGATAGAGAATAATATAGTATTCCACTACTGGCCTCGCGCTCTCGTGTCGTCTCGTTCCGTCTCCTCACCGCTGAAGAGAGTCATAGGAGTCGGGTGTCCAAAGAGAGGTTGGAGATCCGATTAGGTACGGTCTGATAGGTTGTCGAGGGATATGGACAAGGATAAATACGAACAAGACGAACAAGGCCACAAAGCAAACAAGTACCGGTAGTATTTCTGGTATGTCTATGTACAACTAGCTCCTCTAGGACCTCTATCCCATCAACCTGATCCACGATAAGACTGGCCAAGGCAAAATACAGATCCGGAGGTCATCCTACCGTAGTGCTGGCCAAGCCAAGGCTGATTGATCCAGCCGCACGTTTACCTTTCCTTCCTCAACACGAGAGCACTTCAACAAGCCGTCCGTCCTCTTCTCTACTCGCAACCCTCTTCACCTCAATATGAACAGTCGGAAAGAGAGACCATGTCTGTTATTGCGAAACGCGATATTGCGCCAATGTCTCCTCCCTCAACAACCGCCACCCCCAGCTCCCGACTTAGCACTCCTACCGCGCCGGTCGTGATCCCTGTGAAGGGCCAACATGATGCTACACTCGAGCGAAGCCGACATGGGAAGAAGGAAAAGAGGATGCGAAATATCCATTCGCCAAATGCTGTTCCACCTTCGGTAGCGGCCCTCCTTGCGCTCACCTCGATCCCTCCTCCGCGAGGCAGCAGGCGCCAGGGTGGCCAAGGTCAAAGGTTGACTGTAAATGCCATACTCGAACATACCAGGGCATCTGAGAAGCAGTTGGGCATAAGCTTAGGAAAGAGTCATCTTCACCTTCTACTGAGTCCTCCCGAAGAGGACTCTGAGGTCACCGAGAGCGAGACAGGTTGTGAATCCCTCTTATCGAGGCGCACAACATGGAGTGGATCTGTTCCCTCCCTGGAGGACGATGGCTCCATTTCTGAAGCCATTTCTGAAGCATCGCCTTCCTCTGGATCCCCCGTCACCGTTGGCTTCCGCGGGAGACGGACGCCTCCCAAGAGGAAGCAATCGCTCCTACTTCCTCTATCGGTTCCGTCGGAAGACCACCCTTTGTCCGTTGTCGATGTGGAAGAAATGGATTTTCGGGTTTTTAGAAAGAGGGGCGAAGAACAAGAGAGGCCGGATACCGAAGCGACCCCCCAGCGCAAGTCAGCTTTCAAGTCAAATCTGACGGCTTCCTTAAGGGCGCTAAAGTCAGCCGCAAAGTCATTCTCGAGCCTCACAACACCATTAATCGCGCCGGACGATTTCCTAACGAGGTCCATTATTTCCATTGACCCTCAAGTACCATTTACAGACGAACGCATGCCATCACTCGAAGATACCCCGACACCTGCATTACGCCGATATCTCAACCCGACTTCCAACCCCCCAGGCGAAGTACACGTATCGGCCTCGATACAGATGCAAACTTACAAGATAACTCGCACTGGGAAAAGCACTTCACCAAGTGTCATTAGCCGGCGTACCGTCCCGACTCCGGAAGAAGGGACCGAGGCCTCAGTTCCATTCATACGTCAGCGAGACATGCGAGAGAATAGCGATTTCATTCGGGTGGCAGTCATGGAGATGCTCATGCGAAAGAAGGGGAAGTTGGACAATCAGAAGCCTGGTAGAGCTCGCTGGGCTCTGCCACCTAGGAAGCCATCAGGAGCCTACGAAATTTCTGTCACCGGTATCCCAGCGAGATGGGTTTCGGTTACAAATTGAAACCCAGGACCAGATATTACCCACCGTGAGAGAAGGGTGAATGTCACACCGCATGGTCGGGCTCTGATCAGTAAGCGGCCTCGTGCGTGGCGCCTTGAAAGAATTAAGAGTACGAACTCTAATTTCCCGCCGTGTGATACGGAACTCTCGCGTGCCTAATTATATTAAAGTTTCTGGGGAGAAGAGTTTTTTCGGGAAGCACGAAGGGTCCAACGGCCCCAACCCACTTGACGATTTCAGGGATCAGGTCGACTGAGTAATGGGTAGTTTCCAAGACTTCTTCCTACCCGAGGTGGGGCTCGAAGATTGGAGTGGTAGGTTGTGAGAGCACGCGCAAACTGGAGGAGAGGTTTCATAGAACCACTGAAGAAGCAGAATCTTACGCTTGGCGTTGCATTTGGCATTTGGGGCTGCACAGTAACATCGACTGGCCGCATGGCATCGGGTATTATGGGATCGGATGGGAATGGACCGTATGCATTGCGCGGTCATTGATGGAGTTTGCATGGTTTGCGATGCGATACCACTTTTTTTTTTGCCATTTTTTTGCCATTTTTTTCCCCCTTTGTGACTCCGTATTTTTGGTTTGCTGCATCGCTGGCTGGGTTGGGTTCCGGAGGATTCCGAAGGAGAGTTACGTAGGTACATAGCTTGGCAGAAGAACTGCATGATCTTGAACTCTGAAGGGATTGCGAATTTAAGAATCCCATGAAACTGTTCCCAAGATTTTTGTTGGAGACGGAATGTGATCTCGTGATCTTTCAAGTCTAGGGCTGGGAAATGACTGTCATAGACTTGAGTCAAGTGTCTTATGCCTTTAATGCGAGGAATAAAATCGCACTCTCTGAATTTACGATGCATAATTCCATTTTCACAGTGTGTCTTGAAAGCCTTGCGATATGTAAAACGCAATACCCCATATCTTATCGACGCACACTATTCCCTTGGACGACTTGCATAATAGCGTTATGAGAGAGCGTACGTTTCCGTAGGGACGACAAGTGGTGAAGCCAGGTTTTGGAGCTGAACGAGTAGGTTGGTTGTAGATGATTGGTATGATAATCAAGTTCTAAGGTCGGCGTGAGAAGGTATTCCTCGCCTGCCGCTGTAAAAAATTATACCGGGTTGATATAAGTAAATTCTAGCACCGCTTTCCATCAACTTGCGTGAAGGTGAGATGCGGTGGCTCAGCGGCGTGTAGCGCAGCTCGTAGTCATCCCCTCGTCTCGTAAGTTGATCGTAGATATCGGAAAACCTATTCAATTAGGTTTGTAGACTGGAACCTCATAATAGTATATGAGTTTCCAGTTGAGTTTTTGCGTTTTCTTGATCTATTTTTATTTTCTTCACGAGCACAAATGAGGCATCGCGAGTATCGGCAAGATACCCCTTGGTAATCACAAGGCTACCATCACGTGGATGCTCAGCCTTGCAAATCTCCCCTAAAACCTAAACCAAAATAACAACACCCATCTTAGAGACCCATCTTAGAGAACCACAGCACAAGGACCGATGAGTATCGCTATACATGCTCCCCTCTGCCCGGTACGATCACGACCGTCTCCCGCTCGCGATCCAACCGTAGCTCGATGACTGCTCCTCGAACCACATCCCAAGACATACGGCTTGGCTCAGCAGCACAGGATGCAGCCCTCAGAGGAGCTTCGTTAGCTTTTGGGAAACCGCCTGTCAAACCGAAGCCCAAGATTAATACCTACAGCGGGAAAAATGGCGCCCTCGCTGCGGCAAACTCAGTCGAAGGGGGCGCACGCCAGAGTCAGGGCCAAAACCAGAATTCCCGGAACGTAAGGGCCTCAGGTCTGGAAGACCCCAGAGGGCCCGGAGGTGACCAAAGGCTAGCATACCAGAATACTGGATCAAGTATTGGCAGTAGGACGAATGTGGGAGGGCTGGATCGCAACGTCACTCCGCAACGGCCAGCAGGGGGAAGGGGGTATCTTCAGCCTCCAGGAGCTCTGTCCGACCAGTCGAGATCTGCCTCCTTCATAGCTGCCACAATCGCAGCCTCGCGCTCAGCATCCACAAGCCCGAATACAACGGGCCAGCAAGAGATTTATGCTGCGAAAATGCGTAGACCCCAGGGTTCACGGTCGCCGTCTATCAGAAGTATGAACTCCTCGCGGAGTTCTGAATATGCCTTGGATACGACTCCCATACCGCCGACTACTTCCTTGATTGGGATGTTTGAGAAGAATGAGGCATCTACCCGCTCTGTTAAGCGGTTTCCTGCCGAAAGAGCAGCTAAAGCAACTCCGACGAAAGTCGTCAGACCAGCTGAATCCGAGTCTCATCTGTCCAGGCCAGCTCGAACACCTTCGCCTCTAGCAAATTTAGAACGAAGCCCTCCAGTTAAAGAAAACAAGCCAACATTGGGACCCAAAAGCGCTTCCGAGAAATCCGAAGTTCGGAAACCTCCTACAGGACAAAAACCCCCCCTTCCTCCTACGAAGCCTATCCCCGTCCCAAAGAAAACAAGACCCCCTGTACTCGAGCTTGATCCCGATAATGACGCCTCTTCGGACGACTCCTTCGTCTCCGCATCAGACTACCAAACCGAAAGCACTTCTCCGTACCAGCTTTCTTTCCGCGCCGAACTCGCTGCCAGAAAGTCTCGTCCCCAACACTCCAACATCTCAGCCACCTCCTCTGTAACAGCCGTTGACTCCCTCGCCAACGCCATTGTAGCCTCTTCCCTCGCTTCCTCACGCGCCGCATCCCCCGCCAAATCTCTAAACTCGTCATCTAACACCTTATACCCGGCTCCCCCTCCCCCGCGACGAAACGGAAGAACACACCTCTTCTACCATTCGAAGGACGACCCAACGCGGACACCCAGCCCCGCGAAGCCACAGGGGCCGGTACTCAAAACCACACTACGGAAGAAGAAAAGCAAAGCGGAAATTGACGAGCGGGAGAAGCGACAAGGGAAGAAGAGCTTCGTGAAGAAACACCCAAACAAGCACAACGAAGGCGACCGAAAACGTTGGCGCGACGCCATCACCGAGCGCGAGCGCAAACGCTACGAAGCCGTATGGGCCTCGAATAAGGGGCTCTTCGCCAACGGGGAGCCCGGGAGCGAAGGCCGCGTCGTGAACGTCGTGGTGCGGGACTTGTGGAGCCGGAGCCGGCTGCACGCCGACGTGTTGGAGGAGGTTTGGGAGCTGGTCGATCGCGGGAAGAGCGGCGGCCTGGAGAAGGAGGAGTTCGTGGTGGGCCTGTGGCTGGTGGATCAGAGGCTGAAGGGGCGGAAGCTGCCGATTAGGGTCAGCGAGAGCGTATGGAAGAGTGTTGGGGTGCTGAGTGGGATCAAGGTTAGGAAGGCCTACAAATGAGCCTGAGCCACTTGGATAGATACTGGGTAGGTCCCGACGCGGAAGGTGAAGAGGTACTACATTGGATGAACCGATAAAAGACGGCAGATGTAATAAAGCTGGCTGGCCGTTGGACAGACACGGCAGCAAGGCCGCGGCGCTCTTGACTGAACGCACCGAGAGGAGAGGAGAGGAGAGCTCGGGGAAGAGATTTTCATGCCTGCATGCATGTATGCATGCGTCTTTTAATACCCAGCGCTCTGCTCTGCGGAGTAGGGATGGATACCAGCCATTAATCAGACCTTCGACCCGAGAAAAGAGAGAGGGCCCAACTGTAGATATGGAGACGGTAGCTAGAGCCCCTGAGATTCCGAGTATTTCGGACTTGACCACAACAATAAACAGTAAAGAAAATGACATTAACTGACTATCGGCTCGGTCTGACTTAGCTCAGCTCAGCTCAGCTCAGCTCAGCTCGCCTCGGCAAAGCAAAAAACAAGATAAAAACACACACATATACATACCGCTATATACCCCCTTTTCTCTTGTTTACCTTTTGTCTAAGCGAGGTACCGGTACTCTTAAGCGAAACTCATCGCTACTCGCACTCTCGACTACTGTGGTATGTGCCTCTACCTCAGAAGTGGTGGGTGAGAAACGCTTGCACAGAGTTTTATTTCACGTCGTAAGCGAAGAGAGCCGCCGAGGGTATTTTGCATTAGGTTTAACTTCGTTCCGTCCCGGTTTACCCTTGCTGTATTTAGTTCTAGTCTCTATCAGAACAAGTACGGGGGTACCAGAGAGGTTCTCGCCCTCACTTTCACTGGTGGCCGTTTGCTGCTGTGTGTCCCATTCTGACCATCGTCCATGTCGAAATTCTAGCCCTCGCCCCAACGCCGCCGAAAACGCCTCGCGATCCGCCCTGTCCCAATGCCCCATATCTATGCTATGCCCTTTTAGTGATCATTGACCGTCGTCCCATGCCGTGTTCCGTCGTCGCATTCATTCGTATTACCAGCCCCATTCCAATTTCTACTCCCGTCATCACCCATCAGAACACACAATCTTGTACCCCAGCAAGACAATCATCAAAAGCAGCGTGGCCAGAATCTGCAACGACATCGGCCCTCCCTCCTTCACAACAACCACGTCCTGTTGATCCACCACCCCGTCATCCAGAATCACGTCCTTCTCAACCATGAACGTCACCTGCGGCGGCGTCGGCGGCGGCCCCGAGAGCCGCCGGACAATGGCATCGAAACTCAGTATCCTCCCTCTGAATTCGACAACCTTTGCCAGCGGCCCGCCTACCACATCGAGAAAGCTTCGTTTCCTCGGCCCCTCGGCCTCTGCTTCGGTCAGCGGCCCTTGTTCTTCGCGCTGCTCGCTCTCCTCGCGCTGGATCGTGTTGCGTCCGATGCGCTCCTTAGCCACACTAACACTATCGCGACTGGCACTCAGCGGAATTCCTCGCGCTGCGTTGGCGCTGGTCTTGAGGTCCTCTGCTTTGGTTCCGACGGCAACATCGAGCTGGTGGACCAGCTGGATCAAGTAGGTGAAGATATGCTGCGCCTCGACCTCGATATCGTCCTTCTCCCTCGCCGTCAACAGGTTCTCCGCGTCCGCTATCCTCTTCTTGAACTCCCTCTTCAGATCCTCGCCATCTTCGCTCCCGACAAAATTGAAGAATTGCAGTCCGGCGACAGGCTCGCTAGGTCGAGGCGGGAAGTTGTGGTTGGGTTCCGAGCGCGTGGGCGCCGTGTCGCTTTCGGACTGCGAGTGCGCCTGCCGGGACGTCGAACGAGGGGGGACAGCGGAGTCGTCGATGCTGTAAGGGCGACTGGGGGACCTGTCGCGATCCCAGAATGTGGTGCCGTGGCCGCCTGCATCTTTGAGCGCAGCGCGTAGGTAGCGACCGCCTGAGAAGAGCGCCATGTAGAGGACCCATGCGTAGGCTAGGAGGACGTGTGGATTTGCTTCTACGGAAACTTTGGTGTGGGCGAGGAATTGGGAGAGGGGCCCGGAGTGAGAGATTGCGGCTAGCTGGACGTCAATTTGGTAGTCGGGGACATTGGCGAGGGTGCGGAGGTCTGCTAAGAGACGGTCTGCTCGTAGGAGGCCTGGCAGGCGTAGGTGGGTGAGGAGGGAGTGAGTTCGGCCGCAGATCCTCGGGATATGGAGAATAGGTGGTTCTGTCGAGGTGGGGGAGAGGAGGGGGATGGTCCTGGAGTCCAGGAGGGGTTTATCGGGGTCGCAGGCATCTTGGTACCCTTTTATGGTAGTCGGGAGTTGCGGGGAGCAGAGGATGGTGGCCCAGAGGCTTTCGAAAGTGTTGTAGATGGGCGCAATGTGGAGGAGGCCTGAGACGTAGGTAGAGGGGTTATTCGTGTATGGTGGCAACGCCAGAGGGAGTCGGGTGAGGATCAGGCGGTTTAGTTGCGTATGGAGAGGACGCGTAGATATATTGACTGTGGTTTCTGTGAGTACTTTTCTATCTGCTGAAGCAAACGGGCCGTACTTCTCTCGGAAAGCGAATGAGGGTTGATCGGAGGAGAGGGTATCGAAGACGGCGTAGGGATGTTGTCGGACATTTTGACGTTATCCAGGCATGAGGAAAAGAAGAGAAGAGAAAAGATCAATACATGAACAGCGGTAAGGAATGAAAATATAAGAGGGTTATTATGAATAGAGTAGGGAATGAATACGGTGGGTTGTTTGATATTCACTTGGTGATCGATCGATGCTTACGGTAAGTAGCCCGAGGTGCTTTCGGCGTCAGGTCAAGAAAGTTAAAATCTTGGCCAGACGCGACTGCGATGATGGGAACTGAGCGCGAGCGAGACAAAGGCGATGGCAACGACAGATACGACAACATAGCGATAACAAAGGGAATGGAGAAGCAAAGATGAAGAGGAAGAAGAAGGAGGAGAAGAAGAAGAAGAAGAGAAAGAGGAATTTACTGTTGATACTGTTGGCGCTGTTGGCGGTTCCATGTTTCCCTCGATCTTTTCTCTCACGCTAAGTTCCGGTAGACAACGTACGGCCAGGGGGCGTATATTTCGATTTCGATCTTTGCTCATGAATACCGTATGTACATATGGTGGCGAGAGGTCGCAGCGGACGGGAGGCGAAAATATATCCACATCCGTACGTAATTATGAAGGAAATGCTTGTCTCACTTCACAATCCAACCACCGTTCCGGGACCCCACAAGCTTTCGGGATCGACATTTCGTCCTCGCTTTCAGTACGGAATCTCATCTAGGGAGGACCTAGGTACCGATACAAAGGTAGATACTTAAACAAGCCGGGCTAATCGGCCTCTCCAAACAACATATGGCCGGCCTGATGGCAACTTCTATAGTCAAGGACCTATGTCCGCAGATTGGTAGGACAGTAGGACAGACTCTTTTAACTACATCATTGTATGTCTCACTGGCACGGGAATATCCTACGCTCTACTACCGGTATCCTCCTCCAAAAGTTCAACAATGAAAAGAAAGTCCCTTGCTCTGCTCTGCAATAGCACACTGTTATTATGTAGATCTATTGGGCTATTGCCCCGCTCGCTAAACTCGCGATGGGCCCGGAGGGAAGGGATATATATGGATGGTATTGGAGATGTTTTGGCTTGAATTTAGGGATTTGATAATATCGGGCCATAGGAAGAGACTGGGAGACACGTAACCACGACTTACTTCTCCCTGTTTCTACGTAAGAGAGGACTCGAGGATTATCATCTGCGATATACTCGCCGGCAGATCTGGTCACGGGATCAATCGTACCTACTGCCGCGAATCACGGGGGCAAGATCAATGTCTTGTCAGTGACTCCCTCTCCTGCATCTTGTCCCATCTCATCTCATCTCATCTCATCTCATCTCATCTACTAGCTCTCTGAATATGTACAGTACAACTACCGGTATAACTGTCTACCGTACGGTACAGTAAGTAATATAATATTCTTATTTCTTTTTTTCGGTTTCACGGATGCATGCATGGTTGGTTGGGGCCGCAGAAAGCTCGACCTCGTCCAAAGCCAAAGCAACGACGAACGTCCAGCGATTGGATCCAAGCAACACCACCCACCAACCTCCTCTTGCTTGGAAGCCGAAGAAATCCTGTGGCTGGGAGGAGGAGAGAGGGCAAGGCAAGCAGGTACAGTACGGTACGGCACGGTACGGTACGGTACGGTACCTACGGTACTGATCTACTGATCTGGCCTTGGATCTCAGGTGAGCCAGCCAGCCAGCCACCACACCTCGAGTGTACCGTGCGTCCATCCAACCCAAACCCCCACTTCATTTTCCATCTCCCATCCCCATCACTCATCCCCTCCATTAACATCATTTTCCCACTCGAGCATTGCATTCACTCGTTTCTTCTCTTGTCGCGAGACTCTTTTCCTCCGTGCTATTTGCAATTGCCGACGCGCTGTCATACTGTTTCGCGTCACGCGCATCGCCGACGAAGAGCCAGACAGGCGTGACTGGCGGTCATGCCCTTCGTGACGGTCGAGAACCACGTCAACCTGTCATTGATAAATCTCAACGTCGCCCCGGGCACTTTTCTGGCCTGCATCGCACTTGCATTCACCTACCTATACATCCTGCACGCCCGAAACAATTCCCGACTCCGACCCCGCGTCCGCCGCCAGGCCCAGGTCACATATTTCCCCCCCGAGAAGAAAAACTCCCTTCAAGATGCTGAAGCAACCCACCATCGAAGACTTGGAACAGGAGTTCGACGACCACCCTTCGTTGCACGCATCTCTGCGCGACTTCGAGCCAACAAGCAGCGAGATCCGCCAGCTGTCGCCGTCCCCCCGCTTTGGCTACCCTTCACATCATTCTGGCTTCCGCTCCGACAGCGACTCGGAGATGGCAGAGTCGATGTCGGGGGGCAGGTTCAGCCCACCAGCGTGGCGACGCGACGGAAACGGCAACCGAAGCAGCGGCTTCTGGAATAGGTCGACATTGGGCAAGCGTGGTAGGGAAGACTCGAGAGAAAGTAGTCCGGAATACGAAGACGCGCAAGACGGAGAGGACGCAATCCTGGCTGCTGCTCAGAGAACAAGGTTGCCTACTGGATCAATGTCGCCCGAGAAGCAAAGAAGTCCGAGCCCTGGGGTATATCCAGGCTCGGAGGTTTTTGGCAGAACGTTTGGAGGAGGTGTGAAGCGCGAAGACGGAGATGAAACTTTAGTCCCATCAACAGAGAATCCAAATAATTGTACGAAGCAGATTTCCTTGCTGCCATGGACTCACTGACGATCTGTAGACATCCGATTTGCAGTTAGAGCAGAAGTCCAACATAGGACGGAGCCACTTGAGGCCGCTTTCTCTTTCTTCAGAAACAAGTTCAACACAGCTACCCAGTCATGGACCTCTTTAGCGACCTCAATGCTCGTCGCATTCCTCTCTTTCCTAGCTGTACAGAGACTGTTTCAGCCTGGCCCTCCGCCTCCGGTTCCCGATCTGGTTAAAGTAGCTGGATTAGCGAAAGCATTCGAACCTCTCATATTCTACTCCGAGAATGGCGTACAGCAAGTTGGGGATCTTCAAGCGACTGGTGTAGCAGTTTGGGATCTTGGGGAGAGCGTACGATCGACGAATATGACTTCGGCACCTATTATCGTCAAAGAACTGGATGGATTAAGCGAGAGTCTTAAGACATTGGCCATTGAGCTGACCAGATTCTTTGCGAACGTGGACGGCGATGTTGACGGGTAATTGAATCTTACCCCATGTGGAAATTAATCTAATAATATCGTAGAATTTTAATAGTAATGGATTGGGCCAAGCGCGAGCTCTCCCAACTCCAGCTCCTCCCACCCTCACCAATGACCGCCGCCTTCGATAACGTTCACACCCTCTTCACCCGCCTCGGCGTCTTTGAGACCCCTTCCGGAACCCCGACACGTGTCGGTGCCCTGGCAACTTCGATCTTCGGGCTTTCAACACAGCAACGCACCCGCCAAACCCTACAGCGCACTTTCACCGAATTCCTCTCCGTGCTCGAAGAATCCATCAATTCAGAGCTCACCCACTCCCTCGCCCTGTTTTCACTATTCGAAGCCATCGACCGCCAGTTCGGCAACCTCGCGCGGACAGTAGCCCGCGAATCCGACGCCCAGGATTCCGCGCAGGACGACCTCCTATCCTCTCTATGGACAAAGCTGCTAGGCCCCAATGCGAACACGCTGCACAAGTTTGAGAAGAACAAGAAACTGCTCCAGAATATCCGGTCCAAGACCGTCCAGAACAAAAATATTCTGGAAGACCATAATCGCAAGCTTCTGATGCTGAAAGCGAACCTGGAGAACTTGCGACGCAAGCTGGTGAGTCCGCTTGTACGAGCGAATGGGAGTACCTTGGGCGTGGAAGAGCAGATTCGGGGACTGGAGGAAGTCAGTGGGTACCTAGGTGGAGTGCGGGAGAAGCAGAAGACGAAGTTGATGGAGTTCCTCTACGGGGCGGGAAGTGGGAGTGCGAGGAGGGTAGCGGGCATTGAGGATGGCTGGGCTCGGTGATAGTATTTTCTTGCACCTAGCTTTTCTCGACACCCTGGTGTGAGTGTGAAATTCTGTCTTGACTAGTTCTGCATCAGCTTGGTTTGGCGCTTGCCTCTGGATATACGGGGTCTAATATTACGGAGAGGCTGCTGGGCTTGGGTAGATGAATTTTTTTTGGGAGTCGCTGGGCGAAGAGACGGGTGGATGTTTCGGCGCATTGACGGTGTTTTTTTCGGGGGTGGGGGGGGGGGGATTGTGCTGCTGATTTGAGTCCTTGCGACTCTCTGTGCCCTTTCCTGGCGTTGTTTTTTATAGCAGCTACGTACCTACTATCTTGGTTCGCCACCAGCCACTCTGACTCGGCTAGAAGGCCTCTCTCCGGGGGGTCCTCCCTCGAACCAATACCACAGATTCTCCATCCATCTAAACCTCTCCTTCTTCTTCTTCTTCTTCTTCTTCTTCTTCTTCTTCTTCTTCTCCTGACTGTCTTGTCATGTTTGTACCTATCTACCATACCACGTATGTACATTTATCAGAGCCAAAATATATATATATATATATATATATATATATATATAGACGAAC